CCGCATCTGGATTCACCCCGGCGTCTGGAAGCCCTATGCAGCTGCGTACGTTTGTTGGCATCTCGCCGACGCCGCCACGTGGGCCATTCCCACCATCTCATCAATGTCGACCACCGATTCATCACGGCCGCAACGAGGAGCAAGTGAATGTCCAAAGTGAATAAATGCGCAAGTAAAATGAAACCCTTTTAGCTTATTTTCACCATTCTACAAAATCTCACACTCTTATAGAAAATCCTTCAAAATAAAATAAATGTCAGGTCTAACTAAATTAAGCTGTTAATTATTAATTTGTTTGAAAATTCAATATGTTCTCTGCTTATTTTCCACTTTGATATATTATCCACTTTGAAATTGAAATATAATCCCTAATAGAACATAACCCAGTGATCGCGGATTAGCACAAAAGGTGCAAAAACGTTGAAATTTTTCTAGGTTACCAATTATTAAAACGACCCTAAAAATTCTCACAAAAGAGGACATTGTAAGGCCCACCCCGGACGGTTGCCGTGGCTTGACCAGCAGCTAGGGGCGTAGACACGGGTCCTTCTGACCCTTGTGAAAGAGAAAATAGTTTCAATATGCGGAAGAGCAGCTCTGCTAGGTAATTTTATTTCCGGATGACACGCATCACTTTATTATATTTCCCTAGCACTATCGCTAGAGTGATGTCTCCTCAGCTATCCTTTATATATCATACATCTACTTTCATCTACAATCACATCTTGCTATGCACTCGCAAGTTCTCGTGATCAAAACCGAATCTAATATTTTTTGTTTACATTTTAGTGGCCAGGCATAGAATAATGCACACTTTCTGAAATATTTTAATAGTATCATTCCCTTGCAAACCCAAATAAATCTATCTGCGTAAAAATAAATAAAATAAGAGTGATTTTCGACAAAACCCGCCAGTATCGCACCCAACGTCAGTACTACAACGCGGATCTTAAACAAAGGAGTAACTAAGTACTAAGTAATATCACTGCTAGACTAGATCTTTGGTTCTCCCACATGCAGCGGTCACACATACCTTTCATGCATTCTTATAGGACCTATGTGGTTTGTCTTATGGTGATGTATAAGGCTGATGTTTTGGCAAAAATGTATAAGTGAAACGCATGGATAAAATAATTGATTTTCGTTTCATGTGATTCATGTAAAAATGTCAACATTAAAATAATTTTCAATGTTTTGAATCATCCACCGATGCCAGCTGCAAAATTCCTTTCTAAATGAATGTATACATCACTTATAAGTGATGCACAACTTAATATTGAGTAGTTTGAAGTTGATGTCGGGTGAAAAAAAACTTAGTATTAAGTAGTTTGTTTACATGTGTTCGAATGACAACCAGGCATGGAAAATCATTTACATTCATTTCGTGCATTCATTTACATTCATTTGCCTCTAACTTTTTTTTTCAACAGCATTCCGCAAAATAATGTGTAGAGCTTTTGTAGGTTTTGTTATTAGCTACAACTTTTGCTAACAAGTCAAATCCGTATCTTTTATGCATGACGAAGCAGAGCGAACAGAAGCCACTACTGTTTTTCAGTGAATGTATTTTACATTCACTGAAAAACAGTAACAACTTCTGCCCGCTCTAGTTCGTGATGCTTAAGAGATAAAGATTTGAGTTATGAGCAAAACTTGTAGCTAATAACAAAACCTACAAAAGCTCTACACATTATTTTGCGGAATGCTGTTGATGACAAAAGTTAAAGGCAAATGAATGTAAATGAATGTAAGAAATGAATGTAAATGATTTTCCATGCCTGATGACAACTACTTCAAGCATTTTACATCAAAATTAACTTCCCACACGCAACCTTCGACCTGGGTGAATGGAACTCAACATTAGGTACTTCGTTCCGTGTAGGGATAAGTCCGACAACAACTGAAAATGACAGCTGCAGCTTTGAATCACGAGTGCTGGAACGAAAATTACACTTACAGAATGACGAAATCATTTATTTTTGATTTTATGTAGCGTTACGAAATCGTTGATGTGGCAACAGGTGTGAACTAAGTTCGTGGATTTGAGAATAATTTCATTTTCACTGTATTCCTCACGTGGAAGGAGCATATATTATATCAAAGAAACAAAAACATGTTTTTTTTTGTGTAAGCTTGAGGGTCACCGGATGGATTCCTGTCCCAAGCGGAAGGCTTGGAAGCAGCTGAAGAGGTAAGAACAGGACGAAAAACGGAAACAGGATGAAGAGAATCGCGAAGATCGGTCCGGTAGCAGTTTGAATATTAGTTCGTACGCAGGTGTGGTACCCTGAGGTGCCACAGCGGAAGTAACTTAGGTGCTGAAGAAGTGATGACCCGAAGGCCGGAGATAACAGGAAACTAGAACAAGCGAGTGGCAGCCAGGAACAGACGCGACGTATTTACCTGCAAAGGAGCAACAATTCAGGAATGATAGGAAAACCAAAGAAAGTTACAAGCAGAAAGCAGTCGCCTCCCGGGAAGAAAGGAACATTATAGCGCATCATTGTGCGAATACAGCGCACTATTTCCGAAACATTGTTGTCTCAAACAGCTGTGCAAAATTTGATGACGATTGGTTGTAACCCGACTTTCCGCATTGTGTTTCAAATGTGTATGGGAATACCAACATTTTTGCATTTTCATTCCTAGGGACTATTTTACTTTGCAACTAATGAAACTATATCCCATGAAGTGTCTATCAACTTTGCCGAAGGATGAACGGTACTATAATGTCTCTAAACAAAGTTAAAGCTGTCCAAAGATCGATGTTTTGAATTAGAAATACTCAGAGGGAGAGATAGGCGGAGAAAACAAAATACAATTTGGTAGCAGGGATTTGTTCCTAAATTATCTTGCAACCCCTGCTAGAAGCTAGCATTTCAAATGACTTTTATTTTTGATTCGATTTACGTGCAAAATAATAATTGATTGCATCGCAATACTTTGCACATTTCTTGGTGCCATTCATTAACCAACGAAGATCAATTAATCAATAGAGTTAGAATATTGTTTTTGGTTCCAAAAACTAGTTGAATTTGAGAAGCACACAAAACATAAAGGTGATTGAATTTCTGTTCGATTGCAATACTCTCAAATTTATTCTAGTAAGAATAAGAAATCCTCGGAAAAATTCTAATTGGAATGTTCGATTGGCTCAGATTTTAACAGTTCATTTGGCTCAAAACATTCTCTCCACCCATCTCTCCCTCTGAGTATTTCTATTTTGACTTAAATACATATCAAAAATCAGTTTTCTGCCAACACTGCCTGATTGCCAATGAAAGTCAGATTCCAAATAGAAAACTCCGAAGTTATTTCAAAAGTTGTTAGGCACTTTCTGAACTATATTTGTACATGATTAGTTGCATGGTTCAAGTTCAAGTAAAATTGTGGTGCCTAGGGATGAAATGCAAAAAAGTAGGATTTCCCATATTAATTTCAATACAAATTTCAAACGCAATGCGGAAAGCCGGGTTACAACCAATCGTCCCCAAATTTTGCACAGTTGTTTAAAACTCCACATGGAATTAAAAAAAGGGTTGTTCTCACTTCATGAGGTTAAGTTTCCGTTTTTTCCATATAACAGTGACCCACCATATAACTTATCGCTAATGGGATTTTGCAGTTTTCAGCTGGAACGAAAATATTTGAAAAACAGGAGCTTAAAATGTTATACCTTTCGTCCATTATGCCTGTCTTAAGTAATAACTCTTGATAATTGAAATATTTCCGCGTATAAAATGTCTATAAAGTTTTAACGACCATTCCGGGCTATCATTTCAATATTACGTTGATGAGAGGTGTAAATTTGTTCGTTCTCGATATCGTTTACGTAAATATTGGTATCCGTTGATTGGAGTATCTAACTGTAGGCGTGTACCATTTTTGCATTTGTATTTTGCCCAAAGAAATCGAGAAAAAATTGTTCATGTCGAAGAAATCCTTGACTGAACTGGGAATCGCACCTGACTTCTCTGGTATGGTATATCACGCCTTTACTGACTAGACTATCCAGAGGCCTCCAGTTGCTCAAGGTTCAATACATCACATTGTTGCATTCAATAAAAACTCTTCACGCTGAAAATTATTTTACCTTCAATTGACGCAAGAAAACATTCACGATGACTGTTGCTTTTTTTGTTCACATCAGCTACTGTCAATATGCTACAATAAACCATCCTTGATAATGATTTCATGCGCTCATTCTTGCGCCTGATGTTGTATTCGACTTTCCATTAAGTTGCAGCTATGTTTTATTTAATATTTCTTCAGTAAGTCTTCTTGAAAACAACATTCTATTCTGTTAACAGTAAATCCAAAGTTACAAAGACATTTGCCATCTCCCCACAATTAATGGAAAGAATAATCTCACTTAAATAAACAACTGTATTATAATGGCAGCCTCCAAACATTGCAAAAAACCTTATTTGCTGACTATGAGTTTTATGAAATGCAACATTTTGTAGCGCAGTCCTTATTGAAAAAAAAAAAACATAATTTTACACACCGGGGACCAGTCAATCTAAATTAGATATAATCATGTATTGACGCAAATTACAGTTATTTGAACCTAAATAAAAAGGCTCAGGCCATACAATCTGTTAGTCTCATTCAATTACGCATCAGAGCCCATGATTTAGCTTTACATCTATCGCGTAATTTGCTTAGATACCACATGAAACTTAACACTGAAAACTAATACATCTCATGTTTCAAATGTTTTCTAAGAGGGTGATCCATAATTCCATCACGAACACACACACTTTTGATTCTAAATGCAATCCAAGCGCATCAATCAATAACCCAAACTGCCCATTTCTCAGTCTCTGTCCATCTAATGAAGAAACTTTCACTTTCTACAACTGAATGCGCTCAGTCACCACTAGAACTACGGAACCGGTCATAGGTTCAACATCGCCGAAAAACGTTAACCACATCGTAGGGTCCGTTGCTGGTTGGTATTCTGCTAAAGGTATGTGAATAGACAGTCGAAAACCTACTTTCTACGTTGATCGACGAAATCTGTTTTGAACAGGTGAGCGGGTCACTCCACGTTTTCTATGCACTCGACGGGATCAACGGAACCTCCGGGCTAACGCGTGCGCACCTGAGAACTGTTAATACTAAACTGAGAGCTTTGGGTTTTGCGTTCTAACCGTGTTCAGGCTGCCGGCGACGTCGACGCCGTCGCGCGTTTCTCCCGTTACGTTGTTTCGTTTGATTGTTCATATCAACTGCGGCGCGCGATGACGAACGTTTTATCTTGCTTTATTATTACTGCTGGCTGGCAGGAATATGTAGACAAATAACTATAAATCGTTGTTTTCCAAGCTTTATAGTACGTTATCGACCGGAGTTGCTAGAAACCTCAACAATAACAGCTTATACCGTCGAAAGCTTGCAGATTATAAGCATATCAGTGATTTTAGATATCTTTAAATTGTAGTCTAGGGAATCATATTAGTTAGAAATAGGCATTTAAGAAATGTTTAAGAAAATTCTAGTAGTCTAGGGGGCTGATAGAATCAAGTTCAACTTGTTGAAGAACCTCCCAGGCGTTGCTAAGAGGCGCATGTTGAACTTGTTTGGTCAGTTCCTGGAGCTCAATATTGTTCCGGATGATTAGAGGTGGGTGAGAGTTAAAGCCATTAAAAAGCCTGGCAAACCCGCGTCGGACTGCAACTCGTACCGACCCATCGCGATGTTGTCGTGCATACGAAAATTGTTAGAGAAAATGATCCTTTTTCGCTTGGACAAATGGGTTGAGATGAACCACCTACTCTCAGATACTCAATTTGTTTTCCGTAGGGGTAAGGGAACGAACGACTGTCTGTTTTCTACAGAAATACATTTGGCTTTTGCTAATAAACAGCAAATGGCTTCTGTGTTCTTGGATATCCGGGAGCTTTTGATTCAGTTTCAGTTGAAGTCCTTTCAGACAAGCTGCTGCCAGAGAAACATTCATATATTCATATGCTTATCTCATGGAAACTCTACAGCTTCTCGATTTACCTACATGGGTCTTCCCCAGGGCTCTTTTGTGTAATTTCTACGTCAGAGAAATTCATAATTGTCTTTGTGACAACTGCATGTTGAGACAACTTGCAGATGACCTGCAAGGACCCTTACAGGATACCTTAGACAATTTGTCTACTTACGCTATTCAGCTAGGTATCGAATTCTCCGCGGCAAAAACTGAGTTGGTCGTTTTTTCTAGGAAGCATAGCCCAGCACAACCGAAGATTCAACTGTTGGGTAAACCGATCACTCACTCTATGTCATTCAAATATCTTGGGGTCTGATTCGATTATAAATGCACCTGGAGATCCCACATTGAGTATCTGAAGCGGAAATGCCAACAAGGATCAATTTTCTTCGAACAATTACCGGAACGTGGTGGGGACCCAGACAACCAGAATGCACGTATATTCAGAGTTGTTTTCGTGATATACAAACATATATACAAACAAACAATTCGTATAGAATGCAAATAAATGGCTTATACGTACAAAAGTGGAGGCCATATACGTGCATATTTTAATTCAATTTTAAACGAGTTGATTTAACATCATATACGATTTAATCTGTAATAACAAATTCATTTTGAAAAGTCTTACGATGTAATCCGATTTAATTTGTGATACAGTACGATGGAAAAATGAGTCATCGCATATAGGTCGGAAATTTGCATTCTATACGATTTAACTTAAACATAATGCGAGGTATGCTATTCTTTTATATGATTTTGACTTAAACTGTAGCAGTCTACTATACTGTGTGTACATTGTTTACGACTTCTGGTTGTCTGGGGAGGTCATCCGCAAGTTCTTCTAACGTTGTGCCGGACAACGATTTGATCGGTTTTAGATTACGGTAGTTTTTGTTTCCAGTCGGCAGCTAAAACTCACATCATCAAATTGGAACGTATCCAGTATTGCTATCTTCATATCGCGTTAGGATGCATGCACTCGACTCATACGATGAGTCTCGAAGTGTTGGCGGGCATGTTACTACTGTCTGGTCAATTTTCGGAATTGTCCCTCAGGCCTCTCACCCTGTGTGAAATTATGAACCCACAGCATAATCCTCATCGTGTATGCTTCTCCGACTTCGGCAATTCAGTTAATTTTGATGTATCTATGACGCAAGAGATTCGCTTCCATGATTGCTCCGTCAATTTTCGCTGCAAAGTTTGGCCAAGTTGATTCCGCAAGATCGTTCTTCACAGATGGATCACTAATAGAGCCGTCCGTTGAATTTGGAATTTTTAACGAATTTCATAGCGAATGCTTCAAGCTCCTTGATCCGTATATGTTGCTGAGCTGGCGACACCGGCAATACATTATACGCTAGAAACTATCGCCTCACTTGCATCAGATAACTATTTTATTTTTACTGATAGTCTCAGTTTTCAACTAAGTGTTCTAGATGCACTTCCACAGTTATTAATTGAGAGCTTTCGATGCCTGTACCATGTAACAGAGTAACAGATGGGGTACTCCCTGCCCAGCACTAATGAGACCCCCCTCTACACTACCTCAGGGTCGGCATGCGCGCTCGAATATCACGGCCAAGGAAACACTCGAATATCTAACACACACAACACTTGTTTAACTATAGGCACCTTTATTGTTCCCACTTTCGTCCCACTTTCGTCCCACTTTCTTATTCGCTATCTCCTACCTCGTTTCGCCTGACGTTTTTTCTTATTCTTCAGCGCGGGCCCGCTGTTGGTCCTTCCACAGCCACTTTTTCACCTTCCTCAGCTTCCTTCTGGGTACTTTTCACAGGCCAGTCGGTTCCTTTCCTCGACTTGGTTCGCAAGCTGGTCGCGTACTTCGGTACTTTCCGCGACGGCTCTTCGATCTCTCTCTCTCTCCTCACTATACTCGTGGCGTGGCGATGGGCCGTTGGTTAGTATTCCCGGATACCTTCGTATCGGAAGATGCTCCGTGTCTAACCGCGCCGTATGCCGAATGACGGACACTACGGGGTCTGACCACGCCGTGGATGAATTGCCAGCGGTAAACTACGGGGTCCTGGATGGTTCTGCACCTCACTCTCCTTCTTCACTTTTTTTCACGTCCTCACAGTTTTTTACTGGTTTTTTGAACTTGCTTGAACTAGCTTTACGAAGTATCGCTGTTGAGTATCGCCAATCAAATAATTCTCAACGATGGCGGCTGACCTATCCTCTCTCCTCCTCGCTGAGCCATCGTCCTTCCGCCCTATTTCGCCTCATCATGGCCCCATTATGCCACCTCCTAATGGCCTCCAAATCCAGTAAACAGTGCCATCTGGTGGTAGGTAGAGGATCTTCCAGTCGTTTAGTGGTGTGACTGTGTATTGTCCAGTGGGTGATTTTGTGGGCGATGGGTGGTGTTGGTAGCTTGTATTCAAACCTTTCCTTGGCATATTGTTATACATAAAATACGAAACACTAATCGCGACAATCTCACTAATCTCAGACAGACAGACACACCACTGGTTACAACCATTTTTGCATTGGTATAATTGTGTGGCAAGTCCAATCATACTTCTATGCCCAGGGAAGTCGAGAAATTTTCCAACCCGAAAAATTCCTAGACCGGACCGGGAATTGAACCCAGCCACCTCCAGCATGGTCTTGATTTGTAGCTGTGCCTTTACCGACTGAGCTAAGGGAGGCTCCAAGCTTCTAAGTGCTTAATCTATAAGATTTTTTTTGTCATCCCCTTTGCATGTGCCCCATCGGTCCCATCTCATTGCTCGATTCCGGGTAATGAGAAGGCGGACTCACTTGCAAAGGTGGGCGCTATGGAAGGCGATAAAGGGTGTATTCGATACACTGAAAATCTTCTGTAACTTTTGAACCGTACGATTAAAAAACCAGAAAATTTGAGAAAATCTTATTCATAGTGTATTGTTTACATCTGTCAAGTTTCAAAGTTATTCATACAGTAGTTCTAGTCATGTGATCGAAAAAAGAAATTGTCCGTGCAAACACTGTGTGCACTTACAATCAAAATTCAGATGTGTCCCACTGATGGATCGTTGAAAAGCTTGGAATTTCCAATACAACTGTGTCTCGTGTGATAAGAACCTTCAAGGAGCGTCTGAGTGCCTGAAGGAAGGAAGGGAGTGGTCGTAAAAGTGGCCCAATGGACAGTAAAATGGCCAGGAAAGTGGTGCACAGTTCAAGAACCGTCCAAACATCAATTCGAGATGTCGTTAAAAAGTCCAAGGTGTCAATCGGTTTTGTGCAGAAAACCATGAAGCGTGCTGGGTTACATGTTTACAAGTTGCAAAAAGCCCCAAACCGGAATGAAAAGCAAAACATCAGTGTGAAAACCCGCGCCCGGAAACTTTACACAAAGTTGCTCACCAAATCGCGTTGCATCGTGATGGATGACAGAACTTACGTCAAGGCCGACTTCCTTCAACTTCCTGGGCAAGAATATTTCGTTGCCAAGCCTAAGTTCGATGTTTCGGAGGATGTTCGAAACAAGAAATTATCGAAATTTGCAAAGAAGTTCCTGATCGGGCTTTCGATTTGCGGATGTGGTGAAATAAGCGCTCCCTTAATCACTTCCGGAACAATCAACGGTGCGATTTACACGGAAGAGTGCCTTAAGAAGCGTCTCTTGCTATTCATAACGAAGCACAAAGGATGAACTCTGTTTTGGCCTGATCTAGAATCCTGCCTCTACGCTCGAAACGTGTTGGAGTGGTACCTAGCCAATGGAGTAAATTTTGTGCCAAAAGATATGAACCCACAAAATTCACCGGAACTTCGCCAATTGAAAAATTCTGGGCAAATATGAAGACAGAACTTCGCAAACATCCCAAAACTATTAAAACAGAGCTGGAGTTGAAGAAAATCTGGGTAAAACCAACAAAAACACTGGGATAATCGGTTGCACAAAATTTGATGGGTGGAGTGAAAAGGAAGGTGCGGGCATTCTGGATGGGAGACGAAATTGATTAAAACAAATTTTGCAAATCATAACTCAAAAGCAGTTTTTTATTCCCTGAAAATTTCAAGAAAATCTGATAATCTGTTTAGTTTTGGTGAGTAAATGTGTGTATTTAATTTTTATCGAATACACCCTTCATTTACGATCGACAAATCGC